CTAATCTTGGAAGAGTCTTGATAAGTCTTGGAGTCCTGGAAGAGTCTTGATGGATCTTGAATTATCCTTTCTTGGCTTATCTTGGACTCTTGGCCTTATCCTAGGAGCTGCCGCCCTAGGAGTGAGATGGGCCTTGGGATGGGCCTCCATCAGTAACTTTCACAAAGAATGATGATACAAGGTTATGTATAATCCCAAGCATGAATTCCACTTTAAATATGCAAGGGATCCCTTAGAGCAAGACTACATGAGAGATTATTTTGCTTTAATTAGGTGTTAGTCAATGTTTCGTTCTTTCTTCAATCTGGCACTTTCACATTTTAAACTACCTTTTGGTTTACTACAGTCCCAGAATGGTACCTCTTCATGGTTCATGGTCCTCTCAAGTGTTCTTTCAGATGACCAAAACAACTTATGGATTGGTTCAATGATGATGCAACAGCATTAGAACTTCCCTAAAGTCATGAAGTCATGTCTGTAGAATTCCTGAAAACCATGAATACCTGTTGACACTTGACACTAGCCCAAGTGTGTTCAATAGCCTGGACTATGAGCAATGTTTGACGTTGTACTTTTCTCAATCATGCATAGGGATGAACTTCTATTCTTTAAATACAATACTTGTCAACAACTCCACATTATTCACAGGTATGCATACCACCTGTGCTCATGTTCATTGAGGCAGTAATTACTGTTCACTTGGGTCATAATATCATGCAAGTCCTTTGAGGTCTTCCTAGGATAAACTTCTAGTAAAGAGAGGGAGGGAAGAAAAGAGGGCTGTTTCAGGACCAAACAGGAACTTATGTTTTTTCTGAAGATAAATTTTCCTCCCTACACTTTCCCTTGGGTTTATTAATATTAATGGAGAAAAAGTAAAAAGAGCAATCTGTTGTTATTAATATCATTTTCCTTCCCTCCTTTTAAAAAGAATGTGAAGGAAGAAAGAGTCATTCCAGGACCAAATAGGAACTTTTGTTTGAAGATATATTTTTTATAAAAGATAATATTTTGGTGATCACTACTATGATCTATTTGTATCTTGTGCTCCCTCCAAAAAAAAAGAACAAAAGAAATGAATACAGGCATGAACAAAATAAGTGAAATTTTTTATGTTCTATTGTTATCAATACTATCTTAATGCATGCAATTCATTTCTTCATGACAACTAAGTTTCATTGAATCTGTTTGGCAGACGAATACCATGATATACCAAGATGTCTTTGCATGCATCCCTAATGACCTTATACATTCTAGGTATGATACCATGAGACTAAGTTTTTTTCTCACTTTTGTTCTCATTTGTGTGCTCTCATGTTTTTATTAGTATGATATTCTCACATGCAGGGTTGCACTCAGACAAAGCATGTTTTATTGGAAAGAAAAGCTAGGGCATACTACCATTGATTTAGGGATAGCCCCAGAGAAGCTAGAGTCTTATCAAAATGGAGATATTAAAAACACTGATCCCATGGAGAGATTAGAGTCGGTGCGTGGGCACCTTGTTTCTTTCCCCTTAGAATTCATGTGTAAAGAAGATTTAAGACCAGTGTTCAATGAGAGTGAATATTATGCATCTCCTCAAGTCTTTCATTGAGTTTGGCCTTCGTGAAGGACAGGAACAGGGAAATGTATAGCCATGTAGTCATGACAATGTATTCTAATATCCACGCCATGAAGGGGTGGGTCTTCAGTATTCTTGTATTTAAAGTACAGAAACCTGAGAAAATCAAAAGGAAAGGGAAGAAAGAAAAACGAAAAGGAAAAAACAGTAAAAAAAAAAAGAAAAAGAAATAAAGAAACTCCATGTAAGTTAGAATCAAGAAAATCTTGGTAGAAACTTGATGATAGATGGCTTTATCAGTTTGGTCGTGCCTGCGTAATAAGGGCTGATAGTGACCATTTGGAGGGGAGAAGCATTTCTTCTTACCACTTTGTCCGGAATGTGATATGAAAGTTTCAAATTTTCTTCTTTATTTTTTAGATGAACTTAAGTGTGGTGCACCATCATTCCGATCGTATCATGTCACTGGTTAATTCAGTCTTAGGAGAACTCATCCCTAAAAGCTAACTGTTAGAGAGAGGGAACTCGAGCACATATATACCCCACAACAGCATCTCATTCTACCGATGTGGGATACGTCATATTAGCATCCCATACTATCAACATAAGACAACTGGATCGTAACACAATGAGCCCTAAAGTTATGCAAAATAAATTCCCATCTAGGCACTAAGCATTACACTGACATATAAATTCTTCGGTTTGCCAAAAAAAAAAAAAGAAAAAAAACTCCTTCCATGGGAAATTGGATTTGGTGCCCACAAAATTGTGTTCACACCGTTCTTACAGCCTTTTTCAGTCGTGTATTGGAAATATCTCCCATGAATAAAAAAGATTAAGTATGGAAATGTTCCTAATGCATAGCTGAAAGTGTTGTGAGAATGGTTATATTGTGAGGACCGAATCTGCCGTCCTTCTATGGACACCACTTGATTTAAAAAATTATTTTTTAGCAAATATTTGAAGTTGTTAAAAAAACAAAGCTTTTGATAATTTCAATTAAGGGAAAATTTGCGATTAGCCCCTGAACTTTCAAAATGTTTCAATCTAATACCTACTGTTAACTAGCTGTTAAGTGGCATTTGAAAAAGACAGATGCCCTTTGAGTGTTATCTAATTTTCATTATCAACCATCCTAACGTTGACAAAAAAGTAACAATCCAAATATTTGCTTCTTCTATTCAAGAAAGTTGGGGTCACGTCTTAATGGGCATTTTGGACCCTCCCAACTTTCTTGAATAAAAGAAACAAAGATTTGGCTTATTTGGGATTGTTAATTTTTTGTCAACATTTGGATGGTTGATAAAGAAAACTAGATCACTCAAAGGGCATTTGTCTTTTTCAAAGGCAATTTAACGACTAGTTAACAGCTGGTTAACAGTAGGTACTAGATTGACACGTTTTGAAAGTTCGGAGACTGAATTGTTGCATTTTAAAGTTCGGGGGCCAAAGTGGCACTAGGCCCAAAGGACAGGGCACTAATGAATTTTTCCTTCAATTAATTGGTGTAGCATTTGGAGATGGGTGTTTCTTTGTTTCCTCTGGTTGTTTCTTTTAAGGAAAAATCTATGATACCGGAAAGATATGGTACTAAAAGAGCTTTCACCAATCAAAGCCCACTTGTAAATTTTGATAAATACCATCTGATTGATTAACAAGTTTATAATACCGGTTGATTGGCCACAACTCAGTTTTTTCATATATGATGCCTTTCTAGTATCATAGTCGAACTCTTCTTTTAAACCTACTTTTTTTCATATGCCTCTCAAAAAAAAAAAAAACCTTATAACTAACCAATGCTTCTCAACCTATGTAGTCTTCCTAAGCCCAATTTCTTCACAGTTGAGGGGCCTCTATGACAAGTAGGATGGTCTCGGGGGCACGGTTCAAAGTATCGATACGATATGCTCGATATGGGATGTATCGTATCATATCTTTTGAAAAAGATACGGTCTGAAACACTTATTTTCAAGTGTTTCGGACCCCTATTTTTTTTAATAATAAAAAATATCTTATAAGCTTCCCGAAAAACTAAAAAAAAATGTATCAACTGTTTCTAAGTATCGATACGATACGAGAACATTATTCCTCCCCCCTCCCCCTCTTTTACCGTCAAACTTTTGGCTTAGCGGGAGTATACATGAAAATGGATGCTTTCAACTTTTTGCTTCACATGAATCCCAACGGCACCAGTCATACTAATTACCTGAGCATGCATTAAAGGTGTTTACAGGTCGGATTGATCGGTTTGAGTTATTTTATTTAATTGTAAATCAATTAGTTTTTTTAGAGAAAATTCTCGATAGATACTCTATACTTTAGGCCGAGTGTCAATTTAGTACCTAAACTTTAAAATGCGACAATCTAATATCCAAACTTTCAATTTGCAAGATCAAAATAAAAATGACACCGATCAGCCAAAATAAAAAAAGACATAATTGCCGCCAAAATACAAAAAGACATAATTACCAACCTGCGGTTTTGAGCGATGCATGAATCAATTTTTTAAATGAAAAAAATGACACCAACTATAATCCCTTCTTTGCAAGCGGGAACCACTGTTCACCGCCTCTGTTACCTTAAATTCAAAAAAATATCAATTTCTCACGCCTGTGATGTTAAGCGAATGCGACGCCGGAAAAAATTGAGATCAACACTTGAATGCGACGCCGGAATTTTCTCTATTTATAATCACTGACCTGAAGAAAATCTTGATGTAGAATGTCCTGTAAAGTTAGGGCTTCTGGTTTTTTTATTGCGCGGAGGAGAGCAGAGCTTCTGGTTTTCTGGTTTTTTTATTTTGGGCCGCGGCAACAGAAGCAGGAGAGCAATGATGCTCGTGCGGAGTTCCAGCGGGATTTGGAGGAGTTGATGTGTGGTCATTTGCCGTTGGTTGCGTGGTGGAAGAGAAGAGTTTCTGGTTTTCTGATTTTGGGGGCGCGGCAACAGAAGCAGGAGAGCAACGATGCTCGTGTGGAGTTCCAGCGGGGTTTGGAGGAGTTGATGCGTGGTCATTTGCCATTGGTTGCGTGGTGGAAGAGCAGAGCTTCTTGTTTTCTTGTTTTCTGATTTTGGGCCGCGGCAAGAAGCAAGAGAGCAACGATGGTCGTGTGGAGTTCCAGCGGGGTTTGGAGGAGTTGATGCGTGGTCATTTGCCGTTGGTTGCATGGAGGAAGAACATAGCTTCTGGTTTTCTGATTTTGGGCCGCAGCAAAGCAAGAGAGCAACGATGTTCGTGCGGAGTTCCAACGGGGTTTGGAGGAGTTGATGTGTGGTCATTTGCCATTGGTTGCGTAGAGGAAGAGCAAAGCTTCTTGTTTTCTGGTTTCTTGATTTTGGGCCGCGGCAACAGAAGCAGGAGAGCAACGATGCTTGTGCGGAGTTCCATCGGGGTTTGGAGGAGTTGGTGCGTGGTCATTTGCTGTTCCTTCAATCTGTACGTGATGAAGTTGGTTGCAAGCGACACCAAAGATGAAGAGAAGAATATGTTTGGAGTAGTGTTGTGGTCGAGGACTAGATCAGGCAGGTCGAACAGTGCGTCTTCGTCTATGGACGGAAACATTGATGAGAATTCTCCTCGGTGTCATCCGACGTGATGGTGAAAGTTGGAGAATGAGAAATTGGAAATTCTGGTTGGCTCTGCTTGCCTTGGTCTTCGGTTTCAACTTTGCAACTTGCTGGTTGCTTGTTGAATGTGGCTGCGGCTGCTTTGGCAGCAGCGGCATGGATGTCTTTGTGCGATAAGCTGGCCGGACGGGGAAGCTACGGGGAAGCTCATGAACCAGCTCAGGGAAATTGAGGAAAGCTGAATTGCCTTTGATAGCAAGTGCAGCAACATCATGGGCTCGGGCGGCCATCTCTGGAGTGGGGAATGTCCCAACTCCCAAGCCAGATTCTTGATTTCTTTCTTGGCTCACGGATTTTCGACACCCATTTGCCCCAACTACGCATCCTCACTCCACGATACCTGGGGTGATTCCCGTCGTCAGTGCTAGTCTTCTGCCGCCTCCTAGTTTCATTTCCAATTTTCACTTCTTGGACTACTTCCTTCCTTCTGAGTTATGTTCAATTCCGCAAAGGAGTTTAGACCAGAAAATGTGGTACTTTGAGCAGCTTCACAGTCTATCATTCATGACTGCTGGTTCCAAAAGAGGGATTCGGACTTTGGAGAAAGCAAGAGAGAATTTCTACGCCGTTCACGTGAACAATCCAGTCTCACTTGTTGTTTCTTCAAAGAGAATGGGATGGAATGGGGTTACCTTATACCTTTGTTTCGTCAATAAACGGTCGGAATTGAGTGAAGCATGCTTGGAATGAAGAGCGGGAGTTAACGTCGACTAAAACGGTCTGAGTTGAGTTAAGTCTCCTCTCCTCTCTCATTTCTTCAACCCATATCGAAGAGAAAGGGGATTAGGAAAATAGGAAGGGAAAAGGGTAAAACAGTCTGAATCTTTTCATAAAGATTAGTTTTGGTATTACAAAAATGTTTAAACTGCACCTGATATCACATGATGGTTTTGATTGACAATGAATTAACACTAGGTATTAGGTTGTCACAAATTGAAAGTTCGGATAGTAAATTGTCGCGTTTTAAAGTTCGGATAAATTGGCACCCGGCCTAAAGTACAGGGTACCTATCGGGAATTTTCCCTTTTTTTATGAAAAATTGAATATTTTTGTCAATATAAATATTTAAATTTATACAAAATTGAATTAAATATTATACCATTGTATTATATTTATATTGATTTATGTTTTTAATTTTTATCATAAATAACCAATTTTTTTCAAAGTTCAAACAAAACATAAATAAAATATATCAATATTTAATATACAAGCTAGAAACTAATTAGTAATTACTTAAACTGACCAATTCGAATTAGGCCGGGCCGCTTTAGTTGATTTGGCTGGTTTGATATTTAATGTGAACACCCCTACTAAGCACATCCAAAAAATGTGGAATGAAAAGAACACGATTTGGAGTGAGTCGATGATCCATGTGCATTAAAATAGCTCTTTCTTCCTTGTCAAGTGAATTCCAAACAATGGTTTATGACATGCTACTAAGTTGCCTAAATTGTTTCAGTGGAACTTATGATTCATACAAGAGATGTTTTTGAACACGGATTTCCTATTCACTTTCTCTACCATCGCCCTACTCACCCACAGTACACTACATCCGTACATCTCATGCTACAATATGGCGATGTGTGGGTTTAATTCATGGCGGGTAGAGTGTGAGTAGAAAGTCATGGGTAGGAAATCCGATTCGGATGTTCTTTTGGGTGACTTGGCAATTCACAATCATGTTCACTAGAAATCTTTCTTGCAATTGTAGACGGGGAGTGATGATGCACAACCTGTACTCTCCTAGCTAGAAGGTAGCTCGGACGTCGGACTGTCATGTGGCCGATCGAACTATAAAACAAGTAAATCAGAGAATTCGGGGTACTTTACTCGGTGTGGGCACTTTGATGCTTAAGTTAGTAAATGGTAAGTAATAGCGAGTTGATTGCTTGTAAGTGAGAGAGTTTTGAGAGCTAAATCGTGCA